ACACAATCAATATAAGAAAAATAAACTGACTTTCAAGATGCTAGCAATAAACAACTTGAAATTGAAATTTAAAAGTACTATTTACAACAATATAAAAATGAAATACTTAGGTGTAAAGCTAACAAAATACACACAAGATCTGTATGCTGAAAACTACAAAACACTGATGAAAGAAATCAAAGAAATAAATGGGTAGCTATACCATGTTCATGGACTCAGAGACTCAATATTATTAAAATGCCAATCCTCACCTAATAGATCTACAGATTCAATACAACTCCAACCAAAATTCCCACAAAGTTTTTTGAAGATTCTACACAAGTTAATTCTAAAATTTACATGGAGGGTATTTCTGCAAGAGAATTAGAATCACTAAAACAATGTTGAAAAAGGAGAAAAAATTCATTTCAAGGCTTACAACAAAGCTACAGTAGTCAAGACAGTATGAGTGTTAGCGAAAGGCTAGACACATAGATTTAAGGAACAGAATAGAGTCCAGAAATAGACTCATACAAATACAGCCAATTACTTTTCAACAAAGGTGCCAATGCAATTCACTGGAGAAAGATGGTTTTTTTTAATACCCAGTGGTGCTGGAACAATTAGATATCCATGTGAAAATAATGATAATAATACTCTTTACCCAAACCTCACACCATACACAAAATTAAAATCAAAATGGATCATAGGGGGCTTGCCCGGTGCCGTAGTGGTTAAGTCCATGAGCTCTGCTTTGGCAGCCCAGGGTTCACAGGTTTGGATCCCGGGCACAGACCTATGCCCCACTCATTAAGCCATGCTGTGGCAGCATCCCATGTACAAAATAGAGGAAGATGGGCACAGATGTTAGGTCAGGGCCAATCTTCCTCAGCCAAAAAAAAAGGGATCATGGGCCTAAATACAAAACCTAAAACTATTAAACTTCTAGAAGAAAATCTTTGTAAGCTTGGGTGAAAGATTTCCTAGATATGACACCAAAATCATGATCCATAAATGAAAAAATTGATAAATTAAATTTCATTAAAAGTCTAACAATTAAAAACTTTGGTTCTTCAAAAGACATTAAGAAAACAAAAGATATGCCACAGACTGGGAGAAAATATTTGCAAAACACATATCTGATAAAGGATTTGTACCCAGAATATGTAAAAATGTGAACTACATGCACAACAAATGTCATAGAGGAGGCACAAACAGATCCCTCACTACCTTGTATTTCCAAACTGGATATTCAAATTAGGAAAGTCTGGTTTGGGAAAACAGTTTCCCGAAAAAGGCTCAAACTGCCTCCTCCTTCCCCAGTTCTTTCAAAGCCAGGAGGGCTGTGCTGAGCCCAACGGAAGGCAGTGGTACTGTCTGTGCTTTAAATGAAGACTCGCCTCTGTTGCTCGGAGCCCTTTCTCGGGGCTGGAGCACACACCCAGAGCGCACTCTCAGAGGCAGGCTGTAGCGACTCTCGGGCTCCGGTATAATCAAGGGGTCTTCTCTCAAGGGGAACTTTGCAATGACCGCCACTGACGGAGGGAACCAGAGAGAAAGAAGAGCCACCAAGAAAACCGCAAAAGGACACTGTACGTTAACACTTAGAATGGTCTGCTTGTCTTTAACTAAAATGCGTGCCCATGACACATCAGAGAGGTGGTATAACAGAGAAGCTGTTGCCAAATTAGAGCCAAAGCAGGAGTGACCCTTTTTTATAGACTTGTCAGGACAGGCCTCTGTCTCATCTAAGGGCAGAGCGAGACAGCATCTGCATCTAGAGACAACTGCATTTGGGGATGGGGCAAGCTGCTAGAGGAAGCTAATCGGAATGAGGGAGGAAACTGAGCTGAGAGTGACAGGAAGAAGGGGACTTTGCAGAGACTGGAGAGAAGGTGCAAGTGAATTATGCATAGACTCTCAAAACATAAAAAATAATAACTGGGTCACCTGTAGAAGTCACACCTCCGAGTACCCTAGGTGAGCTGTCTGAGGACAGGTGCCACCTTGTTCCTGCTGTATCCTTCATCTGGGGCATATGGTAAATGCTAGATAAATATCCAGTTAATGGGTGGATGTCGGCACGTGAGGGAACCAACCAGGATGCCATGGGAGGCCTAATTCCATCTCCCAGAGAAGCACCATCAGCTCAATGGGATCGGCCTCCTGGTCCTCCTAGCAGGTCCCCGGGCCACAGGTGCAGGCTGCAGATTCCCATCACAGCTGTTGTAAAGACTGTGTGCAGGAGAGCACAATGTTGGAGAGAGTTTGGACACAATGCCTCCCTGGAGTCTGGAAAAGGTAATGGCCAGAATTTTAAAATTTTTACTATGTCTATTTTTCACTCTGACAAGAGTCCAATTTGGAAACTAAAGGCCAAACATCTCAACCTCATTTTAAAACCCCGGGCGTCATGCCTCCTGCCCTCAGATGGCAGCTGCGGTGTTTCTCCACTTCCTGTTCCCCATCCTTAAAAAAAGAAGCTCCCTCTGGCCATTTCTTGTTTAAAACTGTGCATAATTGATAGCAGCAAATCTCCCCTGCCTGTGTCTAAAATCTCTCCAGGGGCCAGGAGAACACTCTCCACGACTGTCGTTAACGGGTAAATTAGCGTGCACTCCTGGCAACTTACCACATGCCATACAAAATGCAGCAGTCTGGTTTAAGAAGAAGGACCCCAGGATCAAATTTCTGCATAATTGGTCTCCATCTTAAAGTCATCTTAAAGTTTCTGCCTCCTTCACCACTGGGAAGAAAGAGAATAATTCCTCGGCACACTGCCACCCAGACACTCCCTAGACAATCAGGAAACGCAAATCGTTGGAAGCCAGAAAGTTCTGCAAACTTTTCCCGAAGAGAAAGGCAAATGAGTGTTAAGGCAAAAATAACAGTAGACAGCGGAAACCTAGCCAGAACTTCAGAAGCAAATCCTTTAGCAGACTTCCCAGTGGACCTAAGAGATCCTGGCCCATCACTGGCATGAGGAAGGGGTAGGGGGATCTGGTAGGGATAGTGGGTGTGAGGCAGAACTTTCTGGTAAGGCCTCCCCTGGTGCAAGTCACCCACAAGGATGCACAAGACTTTGGCTTTGGGTCAGGAAGCAGTGTCTGTGCTTGAGATGTCATGTCCCTGGGCCCAGGAAGCCAAGCCAACAAGCTGTAAGACCTGTTCCGAGCTCTTGGCAGCTCCTGAGATTTTTTTTTTTTTTCTGAGGAAGATTGGCCCTGAGCTAACATTTGTTGCCAATTTTCCTCTTTTTGCTAAGGAAGATTCGTCCCAAGCTAACATCCGTTGCCAATCTTCCTCTATTTTGTATGTGGGCTGCCATCACAGCATGGCCACTGACGAGTGGTGTAGGTCCAGGCCCAGGAACCAAACCTGGACCACCAAAGAGCAGCATGCCAAACTTAACCACTAGGCCACTGGGGCTGGCCCTTAAGTATCTTAACAGGGGCAGTTTCATGTCCTCAAACCTATTCCCAATGACTGTTCAGACTTTATTATTTTTTTTTTTTTAAAAAAAGCCTGCTTTTGTGTTCTATTTAATCAGTACAATTTGATCACAATAAATGTGTCCTGTATAGCCCAGGGTAAATTCAAGCATTCAGAATAGAATGCCAATAATACTTTGCTCAGACCACTAGTTTTTTATCCTAACAAAACTCTTGTGCATTTCTATTCAAAATGGGATGGTGTGATCGTTAATTTCATGTGTCAATTTGACAGGACCATGGGGTGCCCAGATTAAATATTTTCGGGTGTGTCTCAGAGGGTGTTTCCGGCTGAGATTAGCATTTGAATGAGTGGACTCAGTAGACTGCCCTTCCCAATGTGGGTGGCTCATCCAATCCACTGAGGGCCTGAATGTGGAGGGAGGGAGGGTTCATTCCCTTCCTGTTGTCCTCCCTTCCTGCCAGCCAGCTTGAGCGGCGACATTGGTCTTCTCCTCTGGCCCTCCTGGGTCTCCAGCTTGCTGACAGCAGATGGTGGGACTTCTCAGCCTCCATAGTCTCGTGAGCCAGTTCCTCATAACCAATCAATCAATCAATCAATCTTTCTATCCTATTGGTTCTATTTCTCTGAAGAATGTTAACTAATACAGATGGAGGGGTCAGGAACTTTTCCCTTGGGGGACCCTCTTGTTTGAGGTGAAGATAGTTTCTAAAGGAAGTGATCCAGAGACACATTATTACAACAAATAAATCGTGACACACAAATATGTTCATGATATATCATTAATTGGAAAAAATCAGGTTATAAATCAGGCAGTATTGTTTGATCCCATTTAAAAACTGTATAGAAAAGAAAAGACTGAATGTTAAAAATAATGGATGGGGGCCGGCACCATGGCTTAGCGGTTAAGTGTGCGCGCTCTGCTACTGGCAGCCCGGGTTCGGATCCCAGGCGCGCACCGATGCACTGCCGCTTCTCCGGCCATGCTGAGGCCCTGTCCCACATACAGCAACTAGAAGGATGTGCAACTATGACGTACAACTATCTACTGGTGGGCTTTGAGGGGAAAAAAAGGAGGAGGATTAGGCAATGGATGTTAGCTCAGAGCCGGTCTTCCTCAGCAAAAAGAGGAGGATTAGCACGGATGTTAGCTCAGGGCTGATCTTCTTCACACACACACAAAAAATAATGGATGATCCTTATTTTCTCTTTTTAGCTCCACTTTATTTTAAAAACGTTTTATAATATATTATACGACTGTGTAAGGAGACACAGACCAGAGTTTTCCTTTTTTTTTCAAGCCAATTTCTATTAACATGGGAATCAGAGAGAAAAAAAAATGTTGTGTGCATTATCTGAAACAGGCCCAGGCTCCGAGGGGAGGCAGGGCAGGGGCAGTAGACAGAAGTGGAGTTAGAAAGTAGAGGCAGAAGAATGGGGCCTTTGCAGAGGTGGGGTAACACACACTCTTATTTGGTCCTCACACAGTGGTTTGTGGTAAACCAGCTTTTCAGGGGCAGGGTGGGTGGGGAGAGGGTCCCTGATTTGTATCATCTGCCAATTTCCCTGGTGTAAATACTCCCAACAGCTGATTTCAAGCTGCCAACGTGATGTCACTGAATGTGGAGTTGGGGAGATGTGCGCAGTCGGATCTCAAGGGCTGGTGCAAGCCCTTCTAGCACACTCTGCCACAGCAGCCCTTGACACAGGGAAGGGACTCCTGTTCCCATTTTATGGATATGGGGCTGGTCTCAGACAGCCACTGTATCAAGGCCTTGTGTTTTAGGCCAGGCACCGTAAATGTGCTGTCCTATTGAATCCTCACAACACCCGTATGAAGCAGACAGAGCCCAGAGGTTATATGGCTAATAAGTGGCAGAGACTTGAACCTAGGACTATCTGCTTCCTTAACTGTGCCTTTAACCACCTGCTGTACCGTTTGTCTCCATCACACAGATCATCTTGGACTAAATAACCGTGTCTGGTGGGCTGAGTTCTTTGCTTTAAGCCATTTTCAGATGTGCAAGACACGGAACAGACATTTTGGGGGAGGTGGGATGGAAGGAGTGATGTGTTCTCAGAACACACAGAATGAGCAGGCCCGCAGGAAGGAAGTCACAATGTGTGGGACTCGGCCTGGGGCCTGCTCCTCCTCTGCATTCAGAGACAAAGGACAGAGACCTGTATGCTGCTGGCCTAATCAAGTCCCAGAGCTGGAAGCATCCCACCCCCTTGGGCACCCAACACCTCCCCTGCATGGGGAGCCAGGCATGGGACCCCACCTAGGCCTTGGAAAATACTGCTCATGAGTGGTGGTCTTCACCCTCAGGGCGGCACTTGAAACCAACACCTTTGGTTAATTAGCTGCTAGGCTGGAGGGGTGGGGGAGGGCTGACAGACCCTGGTGTCCAGTGGGAGCACTTCTTTGAGGTGGCATCTGGTGTGATTGTCCTACTCTCAGAAGACTGTGGGTCTGGAGGCCCCAGCCTGAGGGTCCTCACTCTCATCTGCCTGTCCCCAAGGCTCCTAGCACCTGGTAGTCCCATGCTTCTCCTGCCACGGGGGTGGGACTGCCCTTTCCCCTCATTTTCTGGATGTCACAGGCTCAGTGAACCACCCACCACAAGACCGGCCAGTCTGTGCCCGGTCATGGCGCCATCTATACCAGCGGCTCTCAGCCTGGAGGTACGGGGCACAGCAGCACACTTTAAAAATTCTGGCTAGGGTCTTTTCCTGGCCCCAGGCAGGCCCTGTGTCCAAAGTCTCCCCACGTGGCCCTCATCCCCACATCTCTCGTGCCCATGCACACTCAGCAAGTCAGCCATCAGTACAAGGCACTCACCTTGGTGGAACCACAATGACCCTAAGGGGCCACTGGGCATCCAGACTCATCGCTCCCTTTTCCCTTGGTCACCCTTTAGCTCCATGTCTGTGCCTGAGGGGGCCTGCTTCACTACCCAGCTGGTCTTCTCCTGTATGAGAAGTTCCTGCATGTTCCAGGAAACTCACCATCTTTCTTGGTGGCCAAAGCCAACTACACCTTCTACCTCGTACTCAGAGCACTTGTAGCTACACCAACGACTGCTTAGCTTAGGGTCCCCTCTGACAGTGGGAACCTTGATCAATACTGATCAACACTGAGGTACGCCTGTGTGGACACCAGTTCAGACCCAGTGGTCGGCAGCAGTCCCAAAAGAACATCTGAGCTGGTGAACATTTTTTCAGTGCCTTGTGGTGTGGCCAACACTGAGATGCTCCATCGGATCCCCTTTCATGACAGAATTTGTGGCTCAGCTGTAAGGAGTGTGGTCAGCTGATAGCCTCCCACCATAAGTATCTTCAGGGACTTGAACCCTATATTGTTGTTTTTAAACATCTTTACCGAGATATAATTCACCCCTTCAAAGTGTACAATTCAATGATTTTTAGTATATTTTCAGAGTTGTGCAACCACCAACACGATCTAAGTTTAGGACATTTTCATCACCCCAAAGGATACCCTCTACCTATGAGCAGTCCCTCCCCATACCCCATCCCCTAGCAACCACTAATGTACCTTCTGTCTCTATGGATTTGCCTATTCTGGATATTTCATATAAATGGAATCACATGATATGTAGCCCTCCAAGTCTCTACTTAGGAGAACAAGAAAAAAAAGGAGTACATCACAAGGTTATTTTAAGGATTAAACATGAAGGTGCTTAATGCATAATGATAACACAGAATATCCACACGGGCCCACATGCCAGGCATCTTTCATTAGCCTAATGTTTTCAAGGTCCATCCACTTTGTAGTGTGGGAGATCAAAATTAGCAACCCTGAAATATATCTCTTTACCTTGATTATTTTCTCTGACAGACATTTGACCTCCCCCAAACTGCCTAAAGAATTTAACATAGAAGACCTGTTTCAGGAAGGAGCCAACACCATATGATGGCTGTAATATAATGTAAAATAGATGTTACAATAGGAAAGGCACCAAGCCCCCCTTATCAAAAATTCTGTCTCTCCCTGGCCACATTCTCTAGGTGGCCCTGAAAAGAGTTGCCAGACAAACATTTACATTTATAAGGGACATCTCCATTTGTAAAGGTATCTCGCTGTCTGTACTGGGAAGAGGGGTGATGACCTCATCTCCAGAAACTTATCAATGTGGAAGGGGAGGCCTTAAATCTGCATAATAACCTTACTCTTGTTTACTGTGCTTTTCTGGTAATCTCGCATAACTGACTCCCCCTTTGTCTTTAGCTGAAGATAGTATTTAAGATGAGAATCTCTGCCATTGTGTTGAGAAACTCAGTTTCCTTGGTTTCTCCCATGTATACATGTTGTTAACCTTGGTATTATTTTCTCCTGCTAACCTGTCTTTTAATTATTTGGCCAGCCATAAGAACCTCAAGGGAAAGGGCGGAAGGGGATTCTCCCTCTTCCCCAACAGTAGCATGTATCAGAACTTCATTCCCTTTTATGACCAAATGGTGTTCTATTGTATGGATAGACCACATTTTGTTTATCCATTCACCAGGTGACAGACATTTTAACCCAAGTTTTTGAGCAAGGTCACACTCTTCTGGAGGTGGTTCTTAGCCAATGACTTGAGCACAGAGCAGTACCAGGGCCTGACTGTGTCTGCCCAATGCAGCCCTCCCTCAGTGGGCAACCTGGCTCTGGAGCTCCATGTTGGGCCGGCAGAGCCTGAGTCATGCCTGCCTCCTGATTCATTATCACATGAGCCAATTCCTTATAATACATCTTTTTCTATATATATAATACACATCCTATTGGTTCTGTTTCTCTGGAGAATCCTGACTAATACAGTGGCAGAGCCAGGATTTGAACCCAGGCAGCTGACTCCAGTGTCGGAGCAGGTGACCACAGCACTCCATTGTGAATGTGCTGAAAGACGAAGGAGGTCTTGGCATCTCACTGCTCAGCACAAACCACAAACCCCAGATGTGCGGTTTAGCTGTAGCTCCCTGGCACTGCACTGCACAGAGACCCAGGTTCAGAGCCAACTGGAGTCAATGCCGTCTTTCTCCACTTTAAGTAGATCAGCTGACAGGGATTCGAGGCAGGAAATATGGCACATGCTCTGCCAAGGAGGCCTCTGCCATATGCCTTCCTCTCGGTTGACCTGCCATCGGGCAGACACACTGGCTGCTGCTCTAGGAGCAGGAATCTGCTTTAAGGACCAGAGAGTGGGGTGTGCAAGATCTGGACCCTTGGGCTGCCTGAGAAACAAATGCATCTCCTTGTCACCAGTCCCTGGAAACGGGGAGTAGAGAGAGGGGTAGGTAAATTAATCTCCAGGTTTCCTTTCTCAAAGCCAGTCTCCATTAGTGATAAATGCGCATTAAAATCTGTCGCTGCCAAAACCAGACAAGGACAACACAAAAAAAGAAAATTACAGGCCAATATCACTGATGAACATTGATGCAAAAATCCTCAACAAAACACTAGCAAATCGCATACAACAATACATTAAAAAGATTATACACCATGATCAAGTGGGATTTATTCCAGGTATGCAGGGATGGTTCCACATTCGCAAATCAAACAACGTAATACACCACATAAATAAAATGAAGAATAAAAATCACATGATCATCTCAATAGACGCAGAGAAAGCATTTGACAAGATACAGCATCCATTTATGATAAAAACTCTGAATAAAATGGGTATAGAAGGAAA